CAGGACACTAATGAAACACATGGTCTTTTCTAATAACACATTATGTCACACTAACATACTAATAGTCTATTTTAAGACTGATAGTCGATATTGCTTCATTTGTTGAAAAAGAAAAAATAAATAGCCTTTTTGCTATTTAAATTTATATGATAAAATATGAAATTATAGCATTTTTATTATAGAAAAAATATAATAAATAATTGATTGAGGATAATTGTAGGATATATGCACAATCTTCTTATTTTCACAAAAGGACGATAAAATTTAATTAAATAACCCCTCTTGTAATTTCAGAACTCTGAACTATTATATTTTATAAATTAAATGTAATGAAGAGCATCATAATACCTTCCTTAAACCAACAATAACTGTGGTGTTAGCTGTCTAAATATTCATATTATTTTTCATAAAATACGCACACACACTCTAAATATCCTTTTTTTAGTGTATGTGGTTTCAGGTATGCCGTCTTCGTGAGAAAAGGTAGCGTCACCTCATCGTTTTCTAGAAATAGATATCACACCCTTTCAGACAAAGCCTGCCATGGTCAGAGTATTATTTCAACAAAGACAGCCCCTCTTAAAACTACACAAGATAGGTACAATGTAGTACACGATCTTCTAAGACACCGTTCATCTGGCTATCTGGTTCCTCAGTCACATTGTTTCATTTTTAATCTTCTGGACCAGCCAACCTGGGCCCTAATGCAATATATAAAGTATTGCGATACATATTCAATATCTGCAGGATCTATTCATTCATCTATTCAGATTCATGGAATTATCATTTGCAAAATAATATCATGAAGATATGCATAGGTAATTATATTCCTCAAGTAATTTACCCATTGTGTATACTTGGTTACTTGATGTGCGCCATTTATTCAAGGCCAAATGTCAAAACATGATCATGTGAATTATTCTCAGCATTCTCTCTCTGCCTGCAGGGGCATCATGATCAAATCTTCTCCCTCCATTATACTATATGTCCCAGTAACACAAGCTGGATGAAATCACAGTGAACAAATCGTACGATAAGGCGTACAAATGTCCTGATTTCATTGTAACCTGAGATTCGCTCATTAGTACTTTTAAATCATCTTTACAGGCTGAGTTAAAGCTGCTCTGAAGTGGCTCTGTGCCACTTTAAAAATTTTTGTAAAAATGCAATGCTGCTTAACATTAAAATATCACCTCAGTCCCTAATTCAGGATCAGAGCAGCATTAAGCTTTGTTGTTATGGCAGAGAATATTTCAATTGTTACGCTATTTATAGCTTCATAGATTTTTATATACATAAACTAATATTTTTATTTCATAAATTCGTATTCAACCCTCTATGGGACTAATTGTGAACTCACAGCTCGAAAAAATAATTGACTTTGTATTTTACATATATTTAGGAGTAAAATCATTTTACACATTTTTTTTCTACATCTGACCTTTTTCTGTAGGGTTCTGTCAAATGACTTACATTTTCAGATTTTTTCTTTGACTAAATTATTTTTGGCGAATTGTCAGAAACTGCAAACCGCACAATCAAATGCATTTTCACTATCTGAAAAGAAGTAAAAAGGTCTTACTGTTTCAAAAAAACAAACAAATCTTTGTGAACATTCAATTTCTTCTTGAGCTGCTATATTTGATTTGGAACTCGTGCGTGAAAATGTCTAAAACTTGACAAATTCGGATGCAATTTCACTGTCTGAAAAGCATGTCTTAGTGTTTCAAAAGCATTAAAACAACTTTAACATTGTGTTTCATCTTGGTATTTCAAATCAATTATCATAGCACAGGTGAAAGTGATCAAGACTCTTCTTTTTCAGTGTACCCCACACATCAGTAGATTTGGACTTGTGCAGTCCTCATTGGAGCATCGCAGCCTGTCAGAATACGAATGCCAATAGACACTATAGCGCAGAGTCAGTCACATTACTTTTTTGATGCGCTTGGAGGAATTTATTCGCAAAATGCATTTCCATCTCCCATTATTCGCATCAACCCTTTTTCGCACAAGTCAAAAACCACCTCAAGCGAGCGTAAAAACTTTTTTGCAAATTAAGGGATTTTTATTCGAAATTGGGCGTTTCCATCACTCGTTTCTCATGCGATACTTCACAATGCGCATTAAAATTGGGTGATGGAAACATAGCTACTGGCATCTTCCCTGACCTCTGCTTGTTGTATGGATCACTTCTTTCAAACTGTGGCATGCAATAATATACCCAAATGCAGGGGCGGATTTAGTGAATTGGGGGCCCCAGGCAAAATATAGGATTTGCACATATACATTTGCACACATTTTCCTAGATCAGCCTTGAGGTTCCATTTAGTTGTTTTCAGCGTAAGCCTGTGTGCAAAGGCTGTCTAATTCTAAACTTTGAAATACATTTATTTTTAGTGGTTTTAACTACAAATTTAAATAAAACTGAAAAAATAATTAAAAGGCAATTATACATTTACACACCTAAAATACAGATATCAAGAGCATGCTCACAGATGAGAACAAAACAGCGCTGGATGAAGTGGATTAAAGCCCTGCACGGGTCTCAAATATAGGCCCTAGCCAGTCTTTTTCCCCTTTTCCCAAAAAAAAGCTTATACTACTGTTTCAGCTATTAAAATAGTTCAGTTTTGTATGTAATGGAAAAGTGATTATATTTCGTTTCGTTTTTTTATAAAGTAAATTTAGTAAAACATTTGGAGTATTTTGTGTTCGTTAAATGTAAGTTATTTTGTTTTTTTAAGTAAAGGCCAGCGGCAGACAGTGAAATGATCATAGCCTATAGCCTATGTTCAATGTATCAATTTAGCCTTCTCAAATCATCAGGACTGAAATCTATATATAACTATGTAAACAGCAAACGTTCGCGTGTCCGCGCATATCCTATATGAAAAGCATTTTAGGGGGCCCTTGGCTTTTGGGGGCCCAAGGCGGTGCCTAATGGGTAAGTCCGCACCTGCCCAAATGCCTGACTTCCACAACAACCTATTCTTCATCACTGCCCCCACACTCATTGCTTCTATCCTCCTTGGTCCTCAACAACTTCTTTTATTACTACAACCTGATTTTCTATCACTATCATCAATACTTTCTGAAATAAGTACATATTTGTCTCTCCATCTTCCAAAAATGAACCTAAAACACGGACATAAAGGCTATTATACTGTCTGCCAATGCTGGTCAATAGTACCAGTTACACCAAATATGCATCCCATAACAGAGTTATTGTTATTGATGAGTTATTGTTTTTATAAACGTGCATTAAAAATGAACTTTAGAAAATACCTTTGGATGTATAATTATATTTTTAATAACTTGAATTTATATGTATTTTCTAGTCTAAAATGAGCTCACTGCATGTGCTAATGTCTCATTTACTACTTTGTTACCAGAAATGTGAAGCACATGGCAATTAAATTGTCATTTTACTGGTTGAAGGGGATGTCATTTGACATCACTAAAATATTCATCTTAAATGCAATTTTCTTACCGTCATTTATAAATGACGATATCCCATAGAAGGTTAAAATATCCATTTCATACAGTAGGCTATGTGAATTACCAGACTAATCCAACAGTGTTTTGCTGCCTCAGTTATCAGGCGTAATAAAGACGTTTTAAACGGAACACTATCTTTTTTTCCTTTTATGTTTGACGGTGAATCTATAATAAAGTCATAAATAATGACAGAGCTTGTTTTGTTTCATGAATCCTCCAATACTCAAGCAGCCTTCCTTCCTGTTGCTATGGTTACCTCCTCGGGCGACTTCTGCCGGCAAGCCAAGCGTCTATTAGCGCGCGTGTAAACTTTCGTTGATACGGCAACGTTCAAAAACGCATTTTACATACTTCAAATAAATAATGCTGTAATAAAAGCGTCTTTTTCGTACTAAATATTCGCCTTTATGGCGTTTCGTTTGTCATAGTAATAAGCTACACATTACAAGACAGGAAAACTGGCAAATCTGGTTGTAGTTACCATTTGCAAATGTATTTATTTGTGGTAAATGACAGGGTAGTTATGAAGAAACATTCAGGCATAAGACATTTTTTCAATATGAATACAGTACAGCAATTTTTTGTCAACAAGAAATAAAAAAACCCCAAAGCCACAGTGTTTTCCTCCGGTAACATGAGTTAACAAATGACGACCATATGCCATAATAGTACAGTACAAGTGTTCACACGTGCAAATACGATCAAACAGGAACAGCCTCAGGTGAATGTTGGTGTTACAGATGGAAAGCACTGTGTTAGTGCTCCTCCAGAGCTGCGTTCGCTCAAGATGTATCAGAGGTCCCTCGTGCGGATATCAAACAGTGGGTGGCTTTCGTCTTCCATCATTATGGATAGAGTCCAGTCCATCTTGTTTGTTCACTTTCACTTGGAGCTGGTATATTTGGTCACGGCCTTTGTGCCCTCGGACACGGCGTGTTTGGCCAGCTCTCCCGGCAGGAGCAGGCGCACGGCCGTCTGGATCTCCCGGGATGTGATAGTGGAGCGCTTGTTGTAATGCGCCAGGCGCGACGCTTCTCCGGCGATGCGCTCGAAGATGTCGTTTACAAACGAATTCATAATGCCCATCGCCTTTGAGGAAATACCAGTGTCCGGATGGACTTGTTTCAGTACTTTGTACACGTAAATGGCGTAACTCTCTTTCCTGGTCTTACGCCTTTTCTTATCCCCCTTCTTCTGGGTCTTGGTGACAGCTTTTTTAGACCCCTTTTTGGGAGCGGGAGCTGATTTCGCAGGTTCAGGCATTGTGTCGGGTTTTCACAAATGCTCAGCTGTCACAAGATCTTTATGGTATGCGAACGCGCTGCGCACATTTTGCCCCTTATTTATAGAGTCGGCATGCAAATTAGAGCGAGCACAGAGTGTGTTCTGATAGGATGACTTTCTAACGTCATGGACTAAAACTCGAGCGGCGATTGGTTGCTTGCTTTAGAGTCAAACCAACCAGTCAGAGCACACGTATGGGTATAAATACCAATCCCTGCTTACATCATAAACGAACGTACATTTGACTAGCAACACAAAACGGGACGCTTCTAGCCGAACAGACGGTTCCTTTGTTGTCAAATATGTCCGGAAGAGGTAAAACCGGGGGGAAGGCCCGTGCGAAGGCCAAGTCTCGTTCATCCAGAGCTGGACTTCAGTTTCCAGTAGGACGTGTACACAGATTATTACGCAAGGGAAATTACGCCGAGCGCGTAGGCGCAGGAGCCCCCGTGTATTTGGCCGCTGTCCTGGAATACCTAACGGCTGAGATCCTCGAGCTGGCAGGGAACGCAGCCCGAGACAACAAGAAAACAAGAATCATCCCCCGTCACCTGCAGCTGGCTGTCCGCAACGACGAAGAGCTCAATAAGCTTTTAGGCGGTGTTACCATCGCCCAGGGCGGAGTGCTTCCAAACATCCAAGCAGTGCTGCTGCCCAAGAAAACTGAGAAGCCAGCCAAGAGCAAGTAACGGAGCTTTGCGATCATGGACATTGACACAAACGCAGCTCGGCTAGTTTGAGTCCAAGTAATGTTATGTTCCTATTTCACACTATATTGTGTTTGCTTTAATGAAAATGACAGCTGCATCTTGTAAACTTTGATTTGTTTTTTTGGTGTTGATCATTGCTCTTTTGGACAGACGCACTCACTCCCTCACACAAGAAGAGATCTACACCACCACTGGCTATAAATGGCCATGGGACATTTAACCTGCCATCACGGTGGACTATCCTTGCGGGGAAAAAAACTCCATTTGTGGGATGAATGAACATCAGTATTTCATCGTATATGGACCAATGTTGGTTACATTTTATTTGTCACTGCTTTAAATTACATGCAAGTCATGTCAGTTATCTGCTGTTTAAGTAATTATGTTGTTTCAATAAATGTTGAGTGTCAGTGGAAGGCACAAAGAACCCGTGATTCATTGTTTTTCTCCAAGTTGCATGACTTGAGTGATCTAAAAGAGAGGCTCTAATTAGAAGTGTGCTACATGAAAGGAGCACTAAATACTTTTTACATTAATTAATAGCACTTTCTTTTTAAAAATAGAAAAACATTAAAATGATAAGTTTGAGTTGAACATTGGAACATAGACAGAAAAAGTTAAATTGTACATGGTGGAAGGTCCCCTCTCATGGCCACAGCCATCATGTGACATGCCATGTCACATTGAGTTAGTAATATTTACTTTACTAATAATAAACAAAATATACTAATAAAAAAAAGTATCTAAGAAGCATATTCATTCCACAGAATCAGTTGCATTTACAAAGTTTTAAAACCATTATGCAGAACAAACGATTCATTATTGTGCCAAAAATGAGTAATCAACAAAAATAAACAACAACAATAAAAAGAGTTATGCAAATAATGCCCTGTGAACACTTGTTTGCTATTAAAAGGACTGTGCTGTAATGGCTTTGGTTTGGCTTGGGTGCTATTCTTCTGAGACTCTTCTGGTGCCATTTATCAGTATTAATATTAAAGAATGAATAATTGACTAATTGGGAAAACACAATATACACGCTAAAGAGCCAGATAACGTAAACAAAAACTGAATGCATCACCAGCAGTGTGACTGCATGTTCCAATATGGCCATACAATCTATTAGTTACAACATTGCATTTGTTTTTGATGCCGTGATGAAGCCATTTTTAATTAGATATCTCACTGACCGAACTGGAAGTTAAGCATAAATAGATTAGAACCATACTTATTATTCCATACTGTTTAATGTACAAACATAACTCTTATTATATTACAGCTTTTAGGAGTCAGTCCAATTACATAGAAAATAAATAATGCGCCCAAAGAATTCACACCCAGTGTGCTTAAGACTACTTTATTAAGTGTCTGTAGTTTTAAGTACTTCAAAAACTTTGTAACAATTGTGTTGTTACACTAGTAATTAACACAAGGGCTTCATAGCCAAGATGACCAAAACTTACAACTTAAAAATTATGTTATAGACAGCAAGGAAAATTCAGCGCCTTGCACTTATTCAAGCCAAAATAATGTTTTCCCCTCTTCAAATCATAACGCTGCCTTTAAAAGACATTATGGTTTTCAGAAGTGGTAATTACATAAGATATTACAATAAATGTAAAAGTGATTTAAATAATGTTATATAACGGCTTTGACAGAATTGGGCATGTAGTTACATATAATCTCCATTTTTCTCTGACTTTAAGCCTATTTCTCTGCGTACCCTTCTGTTTTCATGTCATTCAACCCCAAGTCTTCATTCTGCTCAAAGGTCCTGGTGTACTTCTCTATCTTCATTTCTGGATCTGGATCTGGCGCATAAACATTCTGCAAAGAGGTGCGAATAGTTAAAAAAAACATATATAAAATATTTGAAATTAAACCGATTCAAAACAATAAATCTTATGCTTAACCATGAGATGTTATAATAAGATCTAATTAAATACTGTAAAAAAAAAAAGAAAAGAAAACGTAACTCCTAGCTCACCTGAAGATAACTATTTCCAGCAGGATCATCCAGGATAACGTGCACATCCATTTCCCCTGCTATTATCTAAGAAACATTTAAAAAATACAACACATTAAGACTCCAGAAAAAAAATGTGTGTATATTATATATATAATTATATATAAGTATTAAAAAATGTTTCTGCATATAACATTGATTACGTCTAATTGATTTTTCCGTACATTTCTGCCATATGTACATTAACTGAGTCACCACTGATAAGCTACCACTAAATATTGTAGAAACTTAATTTGCAACGATTTGTATCGTGAAAAGCGCTATACAAATAAACGTGACGATATTCAACGTATTCAAAATATTCAAAACCTTTTATAATTATAAAAATGACTAATTCTATATATATATGTAAATAGTTATTATTTAAATACTTATTTTTTTCAGAAATTCTATATTGGTTTATTTTTCAAAAACTACAAACAAGCTCCTTTTTAGACACCATATTGAGAATACTGTCAGAACATTTAACAGTGAAGAACTATAAGCGGCCGTTTACACGACAACGTTTTCAGCCAAAAACGGGAAACTTTTTATGCGTTTTGACTGTTCGTTTACACGACAACGGCGTTTGGGGAACTGAAAACGCATATTTTTGAAAACGGGTTTCAAAGTGCAAGTTTTTGAAAACGGCACCGTTATCGTTTCCATGTAAACACCCAATACGGGAATCTTTGAAAAACGGTGACGTCATGCACGTGCGTAGTACGTGCTAGGTATGTAGACATGCGCAGTACGTGTTGATTTTAAAGGCAAGCGCGAACAAACATACACAACAATAGCGGAGTATATGGTACTGTTGTTGCTGCTCAAAAGTTTGCCAATGCTTCTTCAGCAAAGTGTGGATTTACTTCAATATTACAACCAACAGTGGAGACGCATCATATACATCATATAATCCTCACTTGCCTACAGGTACTGTTTACTAACAAGGTGACCGCGCCAACTACTGGCCTGGCATACGCAATAAAGCGTTTTTGGCCATTTTCACAGATGTGTAAACGCAAATCGTTTTGAAAACATTGTCGTGTATACATGAAACTTTTTAAAAACGCAAGGGAAAATCTTTTCCGTTTTTGACTACACCGTTGTCGTGTAAACGGAGCCAAACAGAAATTTAAGTAATATATTTCAAACCTTGTCAATCTTTTGCCCAAAGAGCTCCAGCTTCCCGGCTCTATCTGCTGTAGAGCTGTCTCCACACATGAAGGGGTTTTTCGAAACAATCTAAAATAAGTATAAATGCATTAAATAAGCATAAAAGGAGTTGTTTGTTGATAACCGCAAACACTGTTAGCAGGGCTTTGATTCCTACTAGGTCTTTGATATCCTTGAGAAGTCCTTCCAGCGTAGTGAACTTCCCTCCAAGAGCCGCCATCCCCAACTCAAACTCCAGCTCAGGAATCAACACGCTACATGTCTCTGACTGTAACACACATACATATATCAAGGACTATACATTTCACATGTAAAATATGTTCACATCTCAAAACACCTTGTTAGATGAACCCACCTTCAGCAGGTCTCTGGACATATCTGAAGGGTCTGTTAAGTGGAGTGTTATTCTGGTTCCCAGCTCTTCTGTGGCGCCTCCTGATTTTACCTAGTTCATGATGCCAGTAAAAAACAATATAAGATATGGAAACAGCTAAAAATTTATAAATAAATAAACAGAAGTATAATTCTGAAGTGTATTATCCCCACCTCATTGGTGCGATGTCTGCAGCTGTCACAATTAGTGGCCATTATAATGACCTCTTTAAAGTGTGGAATTTCTGCATTTGGGTTAAGGGACTAATAAACTACTTTCTTTAAATTATGATGTACAATGGTTAAACTACTTTTATGTACCATTTCTCCATGCAGCATGGTTATGCAGTGTCATTTTCACAAAGTATTTTATTTTTAGCAATTTACCACAAAGAATCATTTGAAAGTGTATGTAATTTTCTAGCATACTTTAAAGGATACGAACAAGCTTCATGTTTGTATTGGCCGGGGCGTTGCATTCTGGGCAGTTTGTGTTGAACACTAATACCTCATTTCTCATTGTGTCTAGATCATTGACAGGCTTTCTGTCATCTTCTTCTTCCTCTGTCTTTAAAAAGAGATGAAAAAAGTTAAAGAAACCGAGATCTTGTCGTTCTCCACACTCAGCAGATGCTGCAGCAGCTTCTTACCTCTATTCCTAGCACAGCGTTGTGTTCAGGCGTCCTTTTGTAATGTGTGACAGTGAGAGCCGTGTCTTTCTGAGGCGCAGATGGGTTCTCAATAAAACTGTTCCCTGATGGATCATCGATAATCTGTAAATAGAAATCAAATGAGGTATTCATTAGTTCTAACTTCATGATAATAAACAAGCAATAGCGTTTAATCTTTGGTCAGTTGCACTGAATTTTTCTGTAGTTTACTATCTTCAAGACTTACTAATGTGAATTCCTCTTCTACTTTTTTAAGTTTTTTCAACCTCTCGATGAATTCCTCTATTTTTTCAGCTACAGCTGGATCCGTTGCCTGAAATGTGGAAAGGATTAGGATTGTCGAATAACAAATCCCTTCACATCTAATGAGAACTACAAAACTAATAAATCTATTATGGACTTTTGGAATTATTTTGATCAAGTCAGCATTGTAGATAAACAATTGCATAATATTGGCATATGGTCAAGGACGAAAAGGGTTTTTTTCTGAGCAAAACATAATAACTATCATACATTTTTACCATTATTTACAAAAGACACCCACTTAAATGTCAATGTAACAATAGTTCATACACCAAAAAATATTGCCAGGCATATTTAGAACAAGAAACATTTGATTTGAAGTTCACAGTGTAGCCAAAACCTAATTAATTGTAATTTTAATCATAATAATTCCTTACATTTATAAAGCGCTTTTCTGGGCACTCAAAGCGCTTTACATAGAAGGGGGGAAATGTTTTAAATGTATTTTAAATCTTTGCCACTAACCTTCAAACCACTGTTTTACCCATTTGTAAGCAAGAATTTTTTTAAACCATTTAAAAATGTTATAAAATCTTTTATGATCACATTTTTCCTTTTATATATTTTAATCATTTTTACAAACCAAAAATGTTGTACTGTAAATGATAATGGAACATTTGTTTTTATATATTATTTTCACACTGTACTTGTATTTAATATGCTTTCTGTGCATATAAAATCTCTTTGACAAATTTAATTTGATGGAGGCACCAAAATGGGACTCGTCTTTGACCCATATCCCTATATAACGTATGCTCTTGCACCATAAATGATGGGTTTCTGTTGTAACACAATCGATGTCAAATTTTGTGAAACTCATTGAGGTGCACAGATAAAACACACACCTTTCTAATAGGTTGGTCTTGTTCTAAACCCGCCACTGCTCTGTCCAGAAGGCCCTCAATTGTTGACAAAGCTAAACAATCAGAAAGAAGAAAAAGTAACTGATCAAAGTGTAAATTGTAACTTTCCAAAATATCTTTCTGTAGATTTTCAGACTTGTACTTAAGTTAGAGGTCACAACGGAAAAACTTACAGCCCTTCTGTGTGAAAGCAGGAATTTCAAAATCAAGTTGTGGAATTCTGGTGGATGCGCTGTCAGACTTCACAACCTCTCGGTTCATGTCCTGCACAAACGAAAATCTATTAGCCAATTCCTGACAGAAACTTCAAATGTGGCAACATGACATAACTGATCAGATAATGAATCTCTAAAACACTTTAAGAGTAGATCCATACCTCTTTGGTCTTCACCTGTAAGGTGTACAGCACACCCTGCTCTTGTATCCGACCAGCAGACTGGATTTCAGTGTTGGTCCAGTTACAGTGTGGACATGTGAAAGAGCTGATGATGATTTCTTTGAAGAAAGGGATCTTAGTAAACAGTAGACGTGTACTTCCCTGGACAAAACATAACATTGACATTATTTTAATTTTGTATTAGTACATAATGTATGTATGTATTAATATAACAATAATAATCGGTATATTTACATTTTCATAACAGTTCATGCACAAACTCTCGATCACTGTAGGCTGCTGATCTTCATCTTCTGGATTAATGTCCTTAAAAACACCACCGCGGACTCGTTCCTCCTCAATAACTGACATCCTGCCAGGCGCTGTAGGGTAAAATTATTTCCACTCTCTGGATTACTGGTAGAAGTGGTTAGATATTAATGAGTGGCGTTTTGCTCGAAGTTTCCAGCAGCTTTCGCACGTTTTTGTGTAATCGCCTCATGTCCGCTTGTATCATCACCGGGTCAGAGCAAGTTCGCAAAACCTGTCAAAATAAAAGTCTCGATTAAATATTTGTGATGGTGCACATAACACTAAAATGTAGTCGTAAGGGAAAACCTGATTAGTGCATAAATGTGCTTTATTTGCGTTAGGTTTTTTAGTTTCATGTATCTTGTTTCATAGGCCTATATTGATAATGCATGCAAATACACTACAGTACATCAACAACGGTAACTGAAAAACAGTAGCGAGTAACGTTAGTTAAACATAATGGCGGTATCAACCATGACACAAAACAAAAAATGTTCGTTTGATTTAGGGCTGTGTGTGTGTTCTTATTAAATGTTTTATTCATTTACTATTCAATCCGGCATTTCTCCTCATTAGTTTTCCATAGTTCCATTAGTTTTTTACAAGTGCATACAGTAGGCTTATGCATTCGCATACTCATAATAACTATTTGACAAAATTGACCATAATATGTTAAATATGTAAAGTAATTCCCTGTCATCAATGTTTGTTTCGAATCAGCAGCCTCTAGATGGTGCTCCATCAGCTTCTGTACGTTTGCCTCATGCCTTCAGTTCTGCTAAAGAGTTGATGTGTAATAAAGCTGGTAAGATTCTGCTAATATGCAAATCCTTTATTTTAAGTAGTAACAACCAGAATGTAAACAACCACATCTGATATTTAATAAACAAGGCTTTCAGGATTTTACATTGTTCTGACCACATAATTCCTGTGTAGAATCTCAAATTGAAACTTGTGGTAAACTATGACAATCTTCTTGGCCTTCAGCATCTCATTCACTGCAGTGGACTTACATTGTATCATATGTTGTCCTTGATGGCATGCCATGTCCTAGCCAGAAAATATCACAGATTTATATTTTACTCATAATAAACCAGCATTGTGCAAACTGGCCCTTGGTGCCAGAACAAAACTACTGACTATAATAAAATATAGAATATGCTTTATAATACACCTGATGAACAGACAGAAATGAACAGGCTTATCCATTACACAGTTACATCTGTATTAATACTCAATTGTGTTAGCTAAGTTACTACCTTATCTGATGTGAACTCTATTTAGGTTGTGTATCGAAACGGGGAAGGTTTTTTTTTTTTTGCCCACATAGTTGCAGTGGTCAGTGGGTAGTGTGAAATTTAATCATGTGATGTTTTTTTCCTCACAACCCTAAAAAAGACCGTCCTGTTCCTGCTGAGCTGTTTAGCATTTTTGTGTAATGATACCAGACAGTTATTACGCTTTTGGTGACGCTGCCAGGGTGCTGTCGTAGAGATGCTAAAAATAATTTTTATTTGATCAGAAAACACCATTAGAGGGTTATGATAATGGTAACCTATGAAACCTTGATTGTTTCTTGACATACAGTAAATATCGCAATACAGGATTTAGAGAAGAAATCTACCTAATTAAACATAAATAAATATAAAAGCAATATCAGTAAATAGAATGGTTTCTTTGTTTGATTAAAAAATATATATTTTTAATTCTTAAAAATCCTTATTGCCAGGGTTAAATTAGATACGGGATGATTCATTGCAACTGGAGGAAGGTTATATATTCATCAACTGTAGGAGGAGAGTTATTACATTGAAACTTCAGTAGACTTTTGAAACTGCCTACAAGTTCGTTTTTGAAAGAAACATATAGTCTTATAAGAATGATATATTATTATATTATATTATATTTTACAGCATATATATTATACAGCATCCATATACAGTGGACTTAATAGGAAAACTGATGCCAGTCAGAACTGAAGTCTGAATTAGACACATCATTTGATTAAATAGATGAGAACTTAATAGGTCAAAAGGTGGCGAGTGTAAATTTGCTAAAAGAGAACCAACCACTGTCCGAAATGCCCCTGAAACTTCACAGATAAATTTGCACAGGGGAAAAGACCATGACATTTCATGATGTCATGGAAGCCGCTCTCTTTAAAAGAGTCTAGCAGAGGAAGTGAGCTTCAGATTCAAGAGTGTGCAGTATGGAGATCAAAACAGTCTTAGTTATTCACACTTTGATGTTGATCGTAGGAGGTAAGACAAACTTATTTCTTATTTACAACCGTTTTGGATACATCTCTGACTTTTAAAGTAGCGTTGTGGTTGACTAGTTAGTGTACGTATTTATCTGTTGCCTTCAAGTTAGTTTTCATGTGTATGTAGGTTACATCGTAAGAGAAGGTTTCAGATGTATGTCAGCGCATTAAATGCTTTATTGCATGATATGTATGATAGATTTTTTTACATGATTTGAACATTTTCTTAACTCATTTTGTTATTCTTATTGGATTGGTTGAATGATATAACTTTAGTTTATATGCTGTGCATAAACTAAAGTGGTAACCTGCAGCTGTTCCCTCAAAGAGCTATTTATACCTTATATAACTTATAAAATGTAGTTTTGCTGATATAAATAAATGTATATAGGTTGATTCAGTGATATTTAATAGTTGGTTTGACTTAAAACCAGTTCATTTAGATATCACCATTTTTAGGTTGCCATTTTTTTCCATGTAAGTTTGCTCACCTTGTTGTTTTAGAAACAGGAAAATATTTTTGCAAAGATGCACACAGTATCAACACAGCAGATGATGTTAAGTTTTTCAATAATTGTCAGTAGCAGTGAACATTTTGCACATATTTCAAAATTTTTAATAATTTACATTATTTTATGAAATAGTTTTATTATTTACTATAATGAGTTTTACTGTACTGTTACTCCCACATACAAATTCACATTAGGCAATTAGCATTTTTACATATGACTAAAAACATCACACCTCCATGAAGCCTGATTTAGAACTACATCTGTTTTATATGTGTACAACTCTGTGAGTAACATTTTAACACCACGGTTTCCTGTTCCAGTGTGAGAATGTCGCTTTATGTGTCACAGTGGCAAGTTTTCTCTCGCTGCAAGATCGAACCACACAAGAAAATAAGACCACTTACAGCAGTCACTTTTTCTCTCGATTGCAAAGTGTAGCCCCCTCTCAGTTCAGCTGCAGCACCTGAAAGCAGTGAGAAAACACAAATGAGTCAGAGCAGAGTGTAGGATGTCTGTGGTCTTATCTGCCCCCCTATCAACCTACTGTTCTTCCATTCAACTAGCCTACACTTGAGTGCATTTAGCATTCATTATTTATGTTTTAGGTTGTTGAAGCTTTACTAAAACACGATTATTCTGACTTCTTTTCATTCTGAACAGGCATAAGAGAATGTCTGGCAACAAAGTATCTTACAGTAGCAGAAGGAGAAACACTGGTATTGAAATGTCCTCGAAAAAACTTCAGTGAGGATGGACACATGGAGTGGAGAAATCCACAAGGCCATCTTTTTTTCTTTAACAACGAAAAAGGTGAAGCCGAGAACACTGTGTATTGTATGAGAACCACTGAAGAATGTATTTCAAACACTTTTACATTTCCTCTTTATTGTATCTGATTAACACTAAAAATGTATTTCATGTTCCCCTACAGCGCTAAGAGACCCAAGAAGCAGCATTTTTACTTTAAACAACTCTGAATATACATTTCACCTGTCCAACATTACCTTAAATGATGAAGGGCTTTATAAATGTCTACTATATGACAATACAGTCATTACAAAAAGATTCAAAGTTAAAGTATTGGGTACGTATAAATATTTTATTTCTCATCTTTTCTGAAAACATCCATAAAATAGGACTATTAAAGATTTGCGGATGAATAATGGAATATGTAATTCAACTCTTTTTGATCGGATCACAGGAATGCCAAAAATAGAAATGTCCGAGTATAAAGATAAAACAATCATCAAGTGTTCCGCAGAAGCGAATGGCCACCCACCTGAACTCTCATGGGTAATCAGTGGGGTTGAAATCGAAGGTAAGTTACAAGAAGTGTCTGAGTGGGCAGACAGTTAGGGGGCACTTATATATATATATATGTGTGTGTGTGTGTGTGTGTTTGGAGTCAGTAAGATTTTTCATCAGATAAATGCTTGACGAGCATAAAAGAATTCTTTCAAAAATGAAAAAAATATCACTGACAAACAAATTCCCATGACTTCTGACATTTCTCTCACTAAGAAACGAATACCTTGTGAAAATAGAGGAACCATGATATTCTGAAATAGGTCAGCTAAGGACAAATGCAAACAATAGTACTCTCAATAGGGTGTTTCTCAGACTATATGAATAATAAATCATGGATAAATAAACATACACACCCTGTTTTGTCCTAACAGCTCTACCCAATACCTTGCGGGAGGAAAGATCCAACAGGGCACTTGCAGTTAGCATCTTAACAGTCAAAACTCATATCAGGACAGCAACGGTGAAGTGCCTAGCAAAACATACCGCTCTCCCAAAACAACTGATAAATTTCATCACTATTGAAAATCACTGTAAGTATACATAAATAGTAGGCAACTACATATAATCAATTGCAGGAATAGCAGAGACCACTAACTAGAATTCATATTTGCGCCCATCTCACCAACACCACCACTGATGTTCCAAATATGTGACCAAAAACAGTGGCAATTTGGCATAAATGACATTAGCCAGTATCAGAAAAGGGAACCAAAAGATTCAGGGATTTTGTCTGGCTGTGCTGCACAGGGAAAGCTCATCTACATTTTGCAGTATTTGGTAGTTTCCTATTTAAGTGAATGTGTGGTTCTCATTAGAGTGGTCAATCACATGATGTCAGGGAAGTCAACTATTTCTTTGAACAAAAACAGCTGTGTTCCCCATCCAGAATAGATGCACTATATATGTGCAATATAACAAACACCAAGTCAGATTCTGATAAGTAAACAGTCAAACAGTTTTCTGATGGGGTTTCTGAGTAATTGAATGTTTTTATTGTTTTTTTACATAGCTGTTACAGCCTCCACGACAAGGTACTCCAGTACTAGAGATGAGCTAAAAACTGACACAATGATCACAGCCACTTCTGCTCCTGCCATTAGCAGTACAGGTGAGTGTTTCTCTTCATTTC